TGTATCAAATTTAACTTTCAATTTTTATTTCAATAATATTCATATCTTCTAAATAAATATCAATAAGACTTTGGATTACAAAATCTAAATATAACATTCATAAGATAAAATAATTATGTATTTGTTGTATGAATTTGGAATTTTCAATAAGTTTTCCAGTCGCAGCAATTGCTTCATAACAAAGTTAGTTGTTATTTGAACGCAATAAAACCAGTGACGTAGAATTCATTACAACAGAAAATCATGCCAATGCGGGCTAACTGGACGACCGCAGTCACATCTGTCCGGAAGTATTTCGATCTGATCCATCGCAATTAAATTCACTTTCATATGAAATCTGTTAATGAAATTTTCATTGGCAGAAAATATTGCCTTTTATTCCGTGTTGCACATCAATAATGTTCCATATTTACTCTCTTTTTTCTTTAGTTTCTTTTCATAAATCGATTACTGTCTTATACATAATTATAATAGGATATAAAATGATGATATTCATATTTAGTTCAAAATTAACATAAAATTGCATAGAACTGTATTTTTCGGTTTAGATAGTATAGTAAGATATTGGAATCAATTCGAAGAACAGTGGGAGATCATTCAATTTCACATGATCGTTGTATTATGATCTAGCAATAGAATTTTGTGAAGAATAGCCAATTTGAGAAACCACACAACTGGCAATCACGGCATATTTCTCATCAGCTCGAAATGCAACAAAGAAAGAAAAATGTAATAATATTCGGGATGTTGCGCAAAAAAAAACGGTTCGGAATTTTAACGCGTTTTGAGTCGAGCAGTGGAGGAATTAAGTGCGGAGCAAATATCACACGACGTGATTTATTTGGTATATTGAATGCGAAGCATTTGAAAGTTTCTCCGATTCGGCAAGATTTCAATCATTTCACATATTACAGATTCTCGAGCGTTCGCAAAATGCATCCGTACTTTTCAACCAAAAAATTCCAAACTAGAGTGATGACGCAATCGATCCAATTTCGTTTCGCTAAAATCGTAATTTGCTAATTTCCTCGTACGTTCCTCGCGAACTTTTGACATTTTATATTTATTAACAGCCATAGTTTCAAGCTTATCCCATTTCGATCTTCCACCATGCACCATTATTATGCCATGGATATTAATCTCGTTTGTGACATAAATTAACTCTTATCTTTCTCGAACATTTTCGCTGTAGTGTTGTTAACATATTGTAGTTAGCTGTTATTACATGAAAATCAATACAATTGAACACTATTAAAGAATCATTTACACCAAAATAGAACCAGAACAAATATTCAGCTAAAAACACATTTGGTTTACAATTTCCTAACTGTATTTTTAAACAAGAAATACATCGAATTGCAGAAAAGGTAAAAGTAAACATCATTTATATTTCCTTTCCAGATATTACAAGTATTTACTCTTCAGCATATTAAATATTTAACTTCCCTGTTTAACATAAAATGGTTTTACATAAAAATCCAGGAAGTTGCACATATAAAAAAACGAATTTAAACTTAATTATAAAAATATTTAATTTTTCTTTAAATCTTTCAATTTATTTCAATTAAAATTTAGTTTGTATTGAAATTTACAAAGTAATAATTCAATAACATTAATCATTCACTTATACTTATTTTTGGTAGCAAACATAGAATGAATATTTATTAATTACAAATATTAAAATTAATTTTCAAGCTAATTATTTATGAAAAATAAACGAACTTTCTCATTTAATTAATAAATAATCTGTGGCTTTTAGATTTGTAGTATGTTAATTGTGGTGCATTATAAAATAGATCTATTCAAACCGTTCTAAATTACTTAATAACAAGTGCAACACCACGACTACCATGTACCATGATATTTCATTTTGAAAAGCTCCAGTTTTGTAACGCCACATAACCATACAATGGGAGAAACGAAAGTTCTAATTATTGTTATTGAACTTCATTATAGTGGAGCGGATTCCATACAAAATGATCTTTAACAAGTTTGTTGGCAGTGGAAGTTTCAAGGTTTATTTGGGATTCTTAATGCATATTAAATCCATTGCTAATTAGCACGCTTGCATCATATGCCATAGATTCTCAAAGTAAACTAATTAAATAGTTTTTTCCCACGCAAACATTGCTTATAATTTGTTATATTTTTAAAAACACGACTGTTTTGTGCTCATAGGTTAATTATATACATGAATCAATCGATTGTAATAAGTTTTACATAACAAAGTAAATTTCTGAAAAATTTATTTTACTTTATTAAAAAAAGTTCATAATACGAATCTTATAAAAATAGCAAAGCATTAAAATTTATGACACAATCAAGAAACATAATTACTAGAACGTCGAAAAATTTCTCTACACTCCCATCTATTCAAATCTGAACCTCATGTTATTATAATCCTACACATTAAACCAATTTCCCAGAAATAAATCTCAGATTATATAACTGAAATCCACCCAATTAGACCCAAACATTCGGTGTGTCCACTTTTATTTGACAACGTTTAAATTCCACATATGATTACCTCTATAAATTCATTAACATCAAACGAAAGTACCCGAAGGCGGTGGTAATTTTTACTTGTAAATCACGCCACATCTTACGAATCATCATACCAATTGCGCAACAAACTTCGGACTCAATAAAAAATAATAGAAAATGTCCGAAAGCAAAAAGAAAATGCTAAAAATCGTAATAAAATTGAGCGAGTGATGAATACTAACAGCGACTAATTGAATATTCCAATCGGCGATATTTCTCTTTTTCCATTATGTATTTTTATTTATTTAGAGTTTTAATTTGCAGTTTATTGCGTATTCGGCACGTACGCTCACGTTGAAAACAAAAAAGAGAATCATACGTGCTCCAAATATTTGGTATATCTCACAATATAAAATGTTGATATCGATTAGAATTAGTCCGGAGGCCCGAAAGGAAAGTAATCTTATGGGAGAGGCAGCAAAGACGAACATAATCTGTTTATTATATTTTATTTTGAATTTCTTCTTCGATGACCTCGAACGTTTCGTGTTTTTACATACGCATGTGTGAAGAGACCAATTCACATTTTCTTCCTGCTATCGACTCGTACAATCTCCTCGAGCGCATTCTTTAATTAAAGTGAAATTAGACGTTTCAAATTACAAAAGGAAAACATGACATGCAACGATAATTATTTATTTATAATATTTTTGTGCGCGTTTTCAAGTGGTCTTTATTTATATGTATGCTCCAGTGCATCCTTCTAACTACTACATCAAACGCGGATATGAATGATCCAAGATCGCCTGAGGAAATAAGGAAATCCGATCACTCTAACAACATGCATATTATTCGGATATTCTAATCTGTTGACATTTTTATTTATTTTAATGTAATCAATTCATCTTAGTTTATTGAAAAAATATCGTAAGATTAAAAGTACAATAAAATATTGTCATAATAATAGATTCAATATATTTTGTATATGAGTTTAATCAATAAAAATATTGATTTTTTTAAATAATTAGTTTAATTAAATGATTAAAAACATTTTTAATTTTGTATGGATTTTATTAATTTTATATTGCTACTATAGGCAACTGTATTCGCGCAAGTGAATAACGTTAGAATATATTCAAATCTCTTAGTTATTTATAATTTGATGTTCATCTTAGGTATAAGTAGGCATTCATTTTAAGACCAACGCAAAGATTTCTGATAATTTCAATTACCAATATGTATTTACTTTTTGTTTTGTATGACGTGCAACAAACTTTTTACCTTTGATCTAAATCCTACTTTCGATTTGCCATGCAACAAGTACGTATAATCAATCATAGCCGTCTTTTCTGAAGTAGAATCCAAAAATGTATATTTTTGTTGGTAAGATTCAAACAATTTAATATTTTAATTGTAAATATTTCGCTTTAGTCTGTTTTAGTTCCACAGTTTTTCGTCATTGGAACTATGAACTACCTATGTGTGCAGTAGAAATTGCCCACTTGGAAATGTCGCACTAATACCAAACGTTTCATTCATTTACATATAATTTGATACTCTTTCTATCATTGGGACATAAATTATAATTGTGATACAAATAATTCCGTATCATTTAATCTAACAAACGTTCGCTTATTTGGCTGAAAAAAAAACAAAATAAAAACAATTTTATTTTAAAATATTTAATTTTCATTCTTTTCTAATTTCTCTACATAATTTCCATTTATTTCAATACATTTCGTAATTCAGTAGAGCCATCTTTCAAGACATTACTCAAAATTGTTTTTTTTTTGGAGCTTTTCAACTTTTAATTAATGATCTCTTCATTGGAACTGAAGACTCTTTACTTCTTAAATAGTCGCAAGGGATGATGCATTTTGGCATTCCTGGAAAATTTGCATAGGCTTGAGTTTGCATAGGCTTGAAATCCGTGAAGATTTGTAAAACAAATTTTTGTTGTGTAGGTGGTGGAATTTCTATCAACCTTACCGATCTTCTTGAAATTTGACATGATATATCGATAGACTTTAACAAATTGAGCAACAACTTTTGTTATTTCAGAAACAAATGAATTAATGCCAACTTAGCGAACTTTTGTTAGATCACACGTACTTTCAAAGATTTATGGATACTACGAGAAATTATTTGAAATAGGATTCAAGATTACATATTTTGTTATTACGTTTTAATGAACAAAGATGTCGTATTACGCTTGTCATGTGATTGGGACAAGCGTAATGTTCTGACCGAACTAATTTTATGAAATATGTGGATGTGCGTAAACTTTTTTTCCATCGAACTTCATCAACTGAAATATGTACGTTGTTAGGATTATCATGCGAATGAAGACACAAGTACGTGATATATAAACATTGAAACTTTAGTAAAAAGGACATAAGAAAATCTGTGATTACAATATAAAAAGTAAATTCTTTTTATTTAATACAATGTTAGATGTTTCAAATGAACACATAATTTATTGAAGCGATAAATAGATTATTAAATTATTTGGGTATTTAGTAGTATCCATGTTTGAATCCACCATATCCTCCTCCATGACCCAAGTAGCTGTTGGAATAGCTGTAAGCTGGATAGTATCCTCCATATCCTCCGCCAAGTCCTCCGTAATATCCTCCATCGTGGATTCCACCGAGACCGCCGTAACCTCCGTAATGTCCACCGATTCCTCCGATTCCATATCCAAAACCACCGTGTCCTATACCTAAACCTCCATGTCCATAACCTCCATGTCCATATCCTCCATGACCGTAACCTCCGTGTCCAGTGTAGATGGTCTTACTGATCACAGGACTACTATAATATCCAACACCGTGTCCTAGACCTCCGCCGTAACCCAAACCACCGTATCCTCCGTAGCCGCTATAACCACCCAGCACACCTCGCTTTACAGTCTTTTTAGGATCAACCTCTTCAGCTTCTTCGGCAAAGACCGAAGCCAGGATCACGAAAGTGAAAACGAAAAATATCTGTTGAAAACATAAATAAAATACAATAAATTAGTACACTAATTAAGAAAATAATAATTAAATTTATATTTTGCTTTAAACAATAAAAAAAATAATAATTCTTGTTTATATTTAAAATAATGTAATTAATATTGTTTTTATTATATTCACTTAATTGAAATAAAATAATTTTTAAAAATTTGTAAATTCAAAAAAAATATGTTTTCTTTTACAAATTAGAATTTGCAATTTAAAACAAAAATGTATGAAAAAATAACTACTTATTAAAAACACTGTTTTCACTAAAATTCACTAAGTAATTATTGTATTAAGTATAAGATGATGAAAATGAACTCACCGGGAATTTCATATTGTTTAGTGAGTGATGTTTGGGATGTTTCTGTTGGTTTGGGGTACGAAGCATTAGTTATTTATACTTGGTATGTGCCCCTACCCTGCCAAGAGGATCGACAAAGGATTGCATCACATTTTGCAGAAGGTTACTAGGAAGCCAATTGTTTGTAGATATTTGCGTGTGGTCACTGAAGTAATTAACAATGCACGGCTTTCAACATTTGGGAAAACGACAAAGCAGCGACGTCGACAGCTTCGAAACAGCCTTAAACTAATTGCGCCTAATGCTAATAGGCACGCACTTTTCGCGCGCATTATTTTGTAATATTTAATAAACACACGGCCATTAAGCATGTAACGAGAAGTCGTCACAAATAAAGGAGACAAACAAAATGTACGGCATATCCAAACCATTTTTTTTTATTCTGTCGTTTCCTTACATTTCATTTCGTTTCACACTAGTTCGCGAAACAACGAAATTCACTTTCGGCTCTTCGATACAAATTAGAAATATATTTGAATAATAGAAAACCAATAATACTTTATGCAAACATCGTTATGATTTATTTGACTAAAATTAGCAATTCCATTAATAGCCTATTCAAACACTTTGTTTCTAATATTCCATTGACTTTATCGTAATTTAACTGATGGATAAAATCACTTTCATATTGTTAACGTACTTTCAAAATATCTGTTTTTGTACTTTAATAACTATACTATATATAGTCGAATATAAAGTAAAATTTATGTATTTTACATTAGTTTGAAACAGTTTTTAAAACTAACATATCTAACCTTCAATTGTAAATAAATAACATGAAATAAGAATGCAGGAGAGAGTCGGAAATCAATCTTAAATAAGATAAGTACATGACCGACTTCAATATCAACCTTGTTAAAATTCGTGTTAAGAGTTACAAACTTGACTTTGATCATCATGCACGTTCGATATAAATGATTACCTGTAAAAAAAACATTTTCCAACTTAATCTTAAATCATAACTTTCTTATAATTGTTTCCTTGGGAGATACAATTGCAGGAAACTCGAAATAAAAGGTTAATTAAGCATCCGTGTCGCGCGTAGTATTTGGATGGGTGATCAGTACTTTTATAATTTGTTAATAAGTTGAGTAATATGAAGAAAAAAATGTTTTTCCGTTTAGATTAAACGTTTCAATAGAATTTACAAAAATATTTTATATAAATATATCCTTGAAAATTAATAAAATTGTAAATAATTTGAATAATACGAAAACAAAATAAAAAAGTGAAACAAACATCTTTGCATGCAAATATTCATTGTCGCATAAAACATAAGTGCGCTTGTTAAAAACCGCGTTATGCAATTTCTCTGGAGTGATTTAAGTAGCGCAATTTCATCTGTAGAAGATATTCTTCATTAAAGTAATTAGCCACGTTAATTACTAATTTTACATGACGCAGTGCTAAATAACAACACAATTATAATATGTTTCCAGTGTAAAGGAACGAATGTTGATAATAATAGTGCAATATGATTCTAACATATTCCTCCTACCTTCTCATATACCGAAAGAACCTTCAGTTTTATGTGTTACATAAATGTTTGTGGTGTTATGATTTATTATTGTTGCAAATTATATACGTACAACTGGAGTAAAATTCTACCGTATTAGAAAACATCAATAATGATATCAAATTACTATGAGATAATTAAGTAATCCCAAATCTAGAAGAATTTAACAAATTTTGTAATAATTACAAGAAAAATTGTTACAATTGCTAAAATAGTAAAATATTATGTGAATTATTAATTGAGTTCATATTTAAAATTGAAGTATTTATGTTAAATAATTAAAGAGAAATAATTAAAGAGAATGAATCATACAGTAATGAACCAGAACTAATTCAAGTTAACCTTACCATGCATCATCAAGCACATCGCCGAATACCAAAAATAAATTATAACAAAAAAAAACTGTTTTTTTAGATTTCGTTATAAACTGAAATAAAACTATATAAATCAAAGATAATGTTGCAAATCATTAAAAAGATTGGTTTATTATAATGAAATGATTAAAAAAATATCATATTCTTTGTATTGTTAAGCTAAAGTCCTTCAATATTCGGAATCACGGTCAGTGACATACGACAGTTTCCTTCCGCTATTATCCCAAATCAATTACGTAAACCTTATGCTTTAATTGGAATAGCAAGAACAATTTGATTGCATTCGCGTTATACGCATCAACTACTTCAATGCTAAACTAAACATTGCATACAACCTCACGAGATTGTCTTTTTCAATCGGGAATATTCAAGATATCTTCAAGTAATTAACACCAGTTATTAAACAGATTTGTTGCGTGTTTAATCTCTTCCAACAACATCGCAGGAAAGAACATTGATTCATGTGATTTACAAAATTCCGTTTCATAAGCCGTATCTTTAATAACACCGCAATTACTATTGATAATGTATTTAGGTAAGATTTGGAAAAAAATTCTAATAAATGTCACAATTTCCTTCAAAAATGGAAAGAGATAGATGTATAATATGGATAGTAAACAAACATAATAGAAATTGTTGGTTATATAAAGTAATAAACTGCTTATTAATTATTTCAAGCAAAATAAAAACGTGAATGCTAATAGCATACGGATATTAACAAATTGCCATTGCACAAGAAGCTTTGATAGCTAAGCGATTTTCTTATTTTCAACGCAAAATGCTTTTTTTTATATGTAATCGTATTGGAGACAACAACCTTGCCCGGTCGTAATGTGTGAAAATTAAAATGTGAAGAAAAAAACGGACTATTTCGAAGGTTATCCTAGATCTGCCTCTATCAAGTGGACGAACGAAGTACAATTTGAGCAAAAACAATAACAAAAGTGTTGTATCAACAAGAATTCTGGTGCGTTCGCAGCGATGCAAGACCACAGGTTTTCATGTATTTATTTCCTTTACGCATTCGGATTTCAAACGGAGGTTTCGAAACGACAAAACTAATTTGACACTGACACGAAAAATAGCAGAGAGAGAAGAAAAAATAAAAGTGGAAATAAGAAGAAGAAAAAAAAACAAAACGCAGTAGGGAATGAAAATATGCACAATAGTTCATGTATGCAAAATAGTTTCGTTTTAAATTTTTGTAAGGTCGCCACCATTTCCCATAGGCCTTTGTTTTTACGCGTAATTAACTTTTGCAAATATTCATTAGATGTTAACTAATCGTTGTTGATATCGAAAGTCAATCTGAATCAAGTGATCGCTTAAAATTGATGAAAACATCGATGCAACAATCGATGCGTGGGCGGTACTTTTCTCTTCGTTTTATTTTTTCTGTTCGATAAGATCAGCATTTATTTTATTTTTTTTAATAATTTCAAAGAATTGCATCGTGCGGAATTTGCGTTCTAATTGCATGTTTTGCAGCTGAGCTTATCATAAATCTCGATTGTTTAAAGATGTTCCTTGATGAGGAAAATTTAAAAAAATACAACTATTTACCTTGTTACGATTCGCGACATTCCAATCCGCCCAAATGTAGAATGCTGCGCGTTCGATTGGGCAATCTAATTTGCATACACCGAATATACAAATGCAGACTGCCCGAATCGGGAAAAAAAATATATAATCAATCAATTAAGTCTGTATATTTGCCATTGGATTATAAGAAACCTACATTTTTTTTTCTCGAAATTAGGTTATGGGTGAATAGCAATAAAATAATCATTTAAGTTCGATCAAGTACTCTGAACACACTCGAAAGTGGCACAGCTCGCAGAAAGAAAAAAATGCAAATATCATCAACGCAGGTAAACTAATTTTTTAATTTTATTTCGATTTTTTTTTGTTAAATATTATTAAGTATATTAAATGTTGTATGTTTTGGGAGAAATTATAATAATTTGTTAGATAATTTGATAATAATTCAGTGGAGTAATTGCGTTGTTAATTGAATGTAGTCGTAAAATAATAACGGTGTAGTTTTAATAGTTTTACATTAATTATTTTACAATTATAAAGTTGTATTAGTTCTAATAGTTCATACAGCAATGTTAAAGTCTTCAAGTGTCCGTGACACAGATATGCTCTAGCTTCGCTAATTCGTTGCCGTTTTAGCTATTTTTGATTCTGGCCTGGCTGTACTGCAACAACGGCGCTGTTGTGAACAGGAAACGATCCCCTTTGGAGGTTGGCTATGTCCATTTCCCCCAAATAAAGTTGAAGGCGAAGCTGACGAATTCTTCGTTGATGGAAACGAAACCGTTGGTGAATATTTTACATCCCAAGAATGTGTGGGTTCCAGGACACGTAAGGCACCACGCTTATATTCCAGGACATCATGTGATAGTGCCTGCGGAAACTGTGGTCGTCAGCAGGACAGTGCATACTTTTCTTGTGAGGCCGCAACATGCGGACAGCAGGATCGAAATATATGCTGAGAATCCTTTTAGGGATGTCTACGGAGGATTTGGGGTTGGGGTCGGTGTCGGAGGTCACGGGGCTGGACACGGATTCCAGGTTTTATTTTAACATCTTCATGTCAAATGCATAAATTATATATATATATTACGAATAATTGAACATTGGAAATAAGTACGCGATGTTCTGTTCTCAATATTGCGCATATTTTTACGAAATATGTGTAAAGTGATCTTAATTTTATTCCATTGTATATATCACTTAGTTAAAGAACATTTTCTGTGCCTCCCATATAAACGCTTTATAATTGATAATTATAGTTCATATTTGTTTACTATATAATTAGCATATAATTAATAGACAATATAAATTAGTTAATTAAATATTGCTTAAGGAAATCATAGTTTTAAATAAATGTTTGCTTAAAAAATATTAGTTTCCTTTTTTTTTCAAAGTTTATTACAACTCATACAAATAGATCAATAAACAAAATCAGAAATTTGCAGCTGACTTTCTGCTAATTGTATTATATTATCTGTAAAAGACGGGTGTAGTAATAGAACATATTGAATGGTAAATGTACAAATAAAATTATACAAAGTAGTAAAGATGAAATTGTATGTTTGGTTGCCTATTGGCATTATATAATTATTGTCGGTATATGTTTGCAACCAGTTTAACAGAGCACGATTATTTAACCTCACTTTACGTAGAAAATGAAAATAGATTGTTCTTAGAAATTTGTTTATACATTGGTTTATATAAATATCACAGTAAGTATAAATCGTTATGTAATGTTACAAAAAAAATATTGATGAAATGTCTTTCAGGTCATGAATTTTATTAGACAAATGGTTAGGCAAGTGCCTTTGAGGAGTCCCATTATTACTAACATACAACCAAGCAGCAAATTGTTGGAATCGGTAAATGAGCTAACGAAACGATTGTCTTCATTCACTGTACAAGGTAATGATCTATAGCTTTAAACTAATTGTACTTTAATAAGCTATGAAGTTTCTATAACTCAGTTATTTAAATGATATAATTTGTCAGATATCTAATTAATCAATAAGTAATGGGGTTGAATGTGTAAGTAGAGTTGACTGACATTCATACTAACTTGTATATATTACTGAAAATGGATTTGCTTTGAATTTCAAAAAGGAAACATGTTCCAATTGGGAGACTATTTCAAATTAATTGAAATTAGATATAATTTAAGTAGTATATGTAATACTACCATACTTCTTTTCAAAACTCTACCCTAAAAGTTTTTTTCTATCTTGAATTTATTAAAGGTATAAAGTTCTGAAGATTGAGGATAAATTTTATAAAAGGAATCATAATCAATATTGGTAAATGTATATAGTTATAACATTATTGAATAAAGTAAAGGAAACCGCAGTTGCTACAATAGATCTTTATATTTCATAGTCACGTTGTAAATAATTAGTAAACTTGACATCTATACTAAAGCAGTAGAAAAGTTAACAAATTTTAACAAAAAAAGAAAAAATACAATATATTCTTATTGTGAGTTATTAATCATTTAAGGTAATTTTCAACGCCAACAATACATTCTAAGTTTTGCAACCATTCAAACTGTTACATCAAAAGTAAACTTCCACATTGCGTTGATTTTTTTTCTAATAATAGTTAAACTACTAAACAATTAATTTGTATACTATTTTGAAGATTTTATAACGTATATATTATTATGTATTTTCATATTCATTGTATAATATATGATGATAATTCTATGTATGAAGCTGTAACAATGTGTATTTTAATGTAGCTGTCAAGATGACGTGCGTCCGGAGATGGATAAATTTGCGTGTGGCCACCGATCGGTCAAGCGTTTGCCATCCTAATCCCAAATACCGTATTTCCTAATGTAATAGCGTGATGTGGACAATGCATTGTGGACCGCACTATTCAATTCTAGAATGGACAATGTCCGAAATGCGTCACCTGCCATTTTTGGTCCCCAAAGGGTAGCGGATTAGATCTGAAAGAGATAGAGAAAGAGAGAGCAGAATTCATATTTACAAAAACGCCCACCCTTTTCGAAACTCCACCTCCTCCCACACACACACTGACAGACAGACGCATCTTTTGAATGTCCGGTATATTCCAAACAGAAACGTTTATTTTCAACAACAAAAAAATATATATGTCACCGTCTTGTGTTTTCCAATTACTAATTGGGCATAATCACTAATTGCGTATCCTTGAAAGTGTGGCCGCGAGTTATATAACACGTTAATGGTTAATCGACGAAACGGGTTTACTGGCACGTACCGTTTTTGGGTAATCGACGGATTACCGGCACCGACGACGTTGGAAATGTACAATTGATCGTCTGAAACATTTGGCAAAAACCCTTCTTCCAGTGATTATAATCTTGGCTGTCACTTCTGCTTTGTCAACTGTTGTATGGAGGGACCGGACTTACCAATTACCTTTTATGAAATCTCAAGATCTCTATCTGTGCCTTCTGTAATCCAGAAAAAAAAATTCATATTTCTTTATTGTCATCATCTATTGTACTACCTTAACTCTCTTTGCATGCAAGAGTTTCATTCATGAAGATGCTACATTCCCGGAACACGCCAAATCGTAATCCGTCATTTTTACACACTGCACACGTCATGGGAGCATGGTCAGTTCTTTCTAAACCTTGAATAAGCTATATTTCTCTACAATTTATATATATAGGAGAGTTCCAAAGCAATTATAATCAAATATTAATTGTACTAAAATACTTTTGTTTTAATTTATTTGCAGAAAGACCGATGGCTTCGTTGGCACAGATGCACCGGTCCGGTCCACACATAAAAGTACGTAAAACCCGCTCGCCGCTCGACGGAAAACCCTTCATGAAAGGTGTTGTTTTAAAAACCTTAATCAAGAAGCCGAAGAAACCGAATTCTGCAAACAGGAAATGCGTCCTAGTCCGCTTGAGTAATGGCAAAGAAATGGTCGCTTATATTCCGGGAGTTGGACATAATCTTCAGGAGCATCACATTGTCTTATGCAGAGTAGGAAGAGTACAAGATTGTCCCGGTGTTAAATTGAAGTGCATCAGAGGCAAATACGATCTCGCGCACGTTATTAAAACTAAGTAAACATTCAATTGGTTTAGTGTGAATGATTAAATATAGTTAATATTATAAATGTTTTTTTGTTTTAAAACCTATTATTCCTATAGTTCCGAAATTACAAATTACTAACATATTTAAATTGGTAACACTAGAATGTTTTCTTTTTTTTCTGTCTAAGGTTACTACTTTCTATATTTTACATTAACGGAAATGACACATTTGTATTAATTTGTCGACTCTAATTACGTATTTACGAAATGTTGCATTTCATTTTATAACATTTGCGCATTCATATAAACCACTGAAAAGCAAAACAAACTCGAATATGAAAGTAATGGAAAACAAATCATGTTACCAATGTTATTAAACTTATATGAAATTCAATTAACATCGAATACAGAAACTAATATTGAGTGATAATCAATTGTACGAGTCTGTTTTACCAAATGATTTATTGTTATTTATGCAGTTTACGTTCTAGGTGCAATCTAAGTTTTATTTGTCATAATTATTATATAACCAATATGGGTTGGTTAATAGAGAATTGCGAACTTTGTAGGCGTGCATAAGCAATATTTTAAGATACTAAGAAAAAAGATTGAGTTAACTATGATTTATGACACAAACATTGAACGAAGATGGGCGGAGTTTTTCCTTGAAGGCAGCTTGAACACTCTGTGCCCAAGTGAAATCAAATAAGTTTGTGTATTTTATTAAAAAAAGAAGATTTTATCGTGATTATTATAGAGAGAAAAAAATAATAATTAAACTATAAAATGAAGATAAAAGTTGTTTTGTTTTTAATTTTAATAATAACAGAATTTACCTACCTAATTGCAGATTACGTATAGTATTATTCGTTTATTACTTTAAGCATTATTCGAACCTAATACCTGGCAATAAAATAATAACTATAACTATTTATATTCCAGTCATTACATATTATATTGAGGTATATATATTGTTGAATTAATGTAGATTTAATGTTGAATGTTTAAAATCTATGAAATGACTGATTTCGGTGAAAATATGTAAGTATTACGAATATATTCGCTTGAAATATATTTAATACAATAGGGATTAAGCGGATTAATTTTATGGTTTTGCAAGTCCGTTATTACATTTGAAAGTTTCCTCCGGCAGTAAACTGTTGCACTGAAAGTGTACGAAAGGGTTAATCGAAAATTCTAAACTTTCATGGAACAGCTTCGCTACATGGACAGTAAAAATTAATCGCTACAGGTAAGTAGAGGAAGGTCGTACGCCAAAAATGAATTGCAATTATATGAAGCAGCGGGACGTTTACAGTTACCACAGTCGTATTTACATTAAGTTCAGAAATGCTGAACTTCCATTGCAACACGCTTAGAGCAAAACCATTTTTATTGGGGTGGGCATTGTAAACTATATTGTAGTAATACGTAAAGCCAAGATAATATATACAGTGAAAGGGTTATATTTCGCTTAAATGCAATAAAAGAGAAGCCCAGGAGTTGCAAATTTCTTTTCTTTGGTGGAATTTATTATTTATGCGACTGGCAATAATAAAGTAACTTTTTATGTTTCTGTCCACAGACCATCCTTCTGCACTAAACACTTTTTATTAATATTTACTTTTTTTCCCTTTGTTTGTAACCACCGGTGTAGTGACTTTTTTTACATGATAATTTATTATTTTATTGGGACCCCCAAAAAAAAGTAGCACTCTTATTTTGCGGCATTATTTTTATTTGCTGACTTCGACACTGTTTATTACATACAATTATTTTTTTATATAACTATAAATCATCATCGACTTTTTACCTCAAAAACAATAAGTGGGAGGAAACACTGCGGTCAAGCAACAATAAATTAATTAACAAAAAAAAATATTAATTAGGAATCATAATTTATGTTTTTCTTTTATTTACAATACACTATTTTTTATCTGCGCAATAATTATTTATTATTAAAAAGTTGATTGACTTTTTAGTTATCTAAATAGTACATTTTGAATACTTACTATGATAATACTGTTTTATTGCTTCATCTGTTTTATTGCTATGGCGATTCTTAGAATTGTAATTACAATATTTACTTAATCCTTTCGTTTGTCTATTTCTATTCACCTCATGGATTACGTTTTATGATGTTCAACGAACGAGTAATTCATTTTTCAGAATGATGTCACAAAACTTATGACATCTTCTTGTAAAATCTCCATGTGGCCACAAATAAAATATGTAAATAACATATACAGTCGATTCCGCTTAATCGGGACTAGTACATTTTGTCCCGATTAAGCGGGTAGCCCAATTATCGGAAGTTTCCGAGATTAATATTTTTAATATTTTATTTAATAAATTACACAATATAAAACAGGTCACAAGACAGTGAAACCTCGTTTAACGAGTTTAATCCGTTCCAAAATTTTCGGATTTTTACTCTTATAATGAAATACTCGTATAGTGAAACACGCTTTCCCATATAAACTAATGTAAATTACGATAATGCGTTTCTTGCCGAAAAAAAAGTACAACTTGGTCTCGATTTTTCATGATTTTGCTTTTCATATCTATGATTCTTTTTATTTTTTGGCTTTTTATTCGGAGACATGCAAGTGCTATTCAATTTTGCACAAAATAAAACACAAATAACATGTCTGAACACAAGTTTGGAAATGTTGTGATCATAAACAACACTAAGATGCAATTAGAATGATCACTAACACTAGGAATTGTTTACCAATTCACACACGGTCAAGTGAGTTTATATATGTTTATATTACTTGTATCAATTTGGGGACTTGTTGGAAGTCTCTTTATACTTTTAATATTTGTTTATATAAAAAAGCGTACATAGTATGTTTATATATTATAATAATGGTTGGACATAATACATTTGTGTTTTGAATTTACAGCAAACACAAATTATATTTGGAAAGTATAGTCCGCTTTAAACAAAGATGAAAATCGAATGTATGTAGGGGCAGAATCCGGGACATTTCTTCTCTTCGTCACTCGTTATGCGAAAGCGACGACTCGTTAAGCGAGTCATTTTTGTTACAATTTATTTTGCTCGTTATGCGAGGTTCTCACTGTATAAAGTTTGCGATGGACACAATATGAGTATTAGTAATTATTGCATTTCTTAGAATGTATCGATCAAGTCGCAATACAAAGTAATATTACAATTCATTGAATTAAATACGATATACTCTTATTGTATCAACTAACCAATGCACAATTATCATTTGTTAAAGTCTCACTTTTATTTATTACCAAGAATCCATTCGATTGAAATCAAACTGTAAGTAAGTATATTCGTTCACAAATAATAGTGAAACATATCATTTTTAATTTAGAAAAATAATAATTCAATCAAAAATATCTTCTATAAAGAAATAATTACTTTTAAATGTAGTTCTTCTATTGTCTATAGATTTGATAAAATTATAAACAATAAACATTTATTATGAAACAATCTGTAAAAAATATATAATAAATCACCTGGATAATTATAGATTTATAAAAGGAATCGGTTAGTAATCCGATCTAGGTATTGATATTAATTAATAATAGTTTTGTAAGCATTGTTTATACAACATGTGTCGTGGCAGGAACGGGAATTGAAGAACAGTAGAAAGAAAATCATATTAGTATGAAAATAAACGTAATTTTGGTATAATTTAGAAACCATATTATCATTTTATTATTATTTACTTTTTTTTGTTTAGTTTCAATTATATAACCAATAAATATCAATTATTATTTTAAAAATAATGAGCATTTCGCTAAACGAGCAAAAAAATTGTAAAAAAAATTACTCGCAAAATGGAACTCATCACATTAGTTTATATGGGGAAAATTGTTTATAAGAGTAAAAATCCGGAAATTTTGAAACGAATTATGCTCGTTAACCGAGATTCTACTGTATATAGAATCGGTTATTAACAAGAGAGAGAGAATTTGTGTTTTAATTTTTATATTATTTTAATAAATTCTTGTTATGTTACAAAATCTATAATATATATAAAAAAAATATTGTCATTTTTTTTTTTTTTTTAAGTAA